TTTAAAATGGAGCGATTTTGAACTTTTCATTTGGTTTTACTATCTAGATGCTCTAATTTGTATGAGATTTTTATGAAACCTCTAATACTCATTTGGACATGGTGACACATTATAGTCTGCTCTGTGATATGTTGCCTTTTTTATGTAATTATGAGTTTAATGTACCAAACTCTTGTGATATACCAGGGGATCCAGAAACTTGAACTATTAGGGGCACCTTTTAAGAAAAAGTGATTTTATTTTTGAATAATTAATACTCCCTCCGTATCAAATTAATTGACCCACTTTCCTTTTTTGGTGTATCAATTTAATTGAACCATTTCCTTTTTTGGAAAGAATCTCACTCAAAAAGCAGCTACAGTACTGCTACAGTACCGCTACAGTGTCGCTACAGTACCAAAAACCTCTTACTTTTAATAAAGTCTACACTAATTGTCTTAAACTGCGTGAAAAGCAAACGGGTCAATTAATTTGATACGGAGGGAGTATAAATTAAATTTACTTCAAATGATGAAATAATCTAATATTAGCAAAATTAAAATTATTACGAGTACATTTTATTGCAACTCCTATCAACTTGTTTTCATTTTTTGAGAATGTTTGATCACAACTTGGTTGTCAATCATTCAAAGATGGTCGCTATTTGGATTGCTCAAATTTGACTTGGACATTAATATTCATCGGGAAAAACATCTTTCAAACTTTAGCCGTTACCATTGACAAAATCAATGACAATTTCAATAGTCGGTAATACTAAATGATATGAAAGTTGTTCTTTGTAGCCACCATCAGTTTAACAATGTCACCGCGCATAATAAAACCGATTATTTTTTTTTTTAGAAAAATCATGACCCTGAGATTGACATCGTCCTCTATGCAAGTACTTTTTTCTTATTTATCTCTTTGATTAAGATGATACTCGGAAAAGAAATCATCTCTACTCTACGGGATCCCAAGCGAGGTGCGTGATTCAAATAGATTTCTTTAGGCACTAAAGGAGAGCTATACTTAATTTTCTCTGGCATCCTAAATTTGATTAGAATGAGGCGGTGATTTTCTTTTATAATATACCTTAATATCATTGATCAGTCCAAATAAATATAAAAAACTAAACTCCTTATTTATACATAATATAGTGAACAACTTTTTTGAAATGTAAACTTTAAATTAAATTATTCATTCTCAAACAAATTAAATATACAAATACAATAGCAGAATGAATGAACAGAAGTAGCAAAATATACAAATACAATGAGCACTCCAATTAAAAAAATCAGAAAATTACTTAATAATTAATTCTAAAAAAGAGAATGAATTAAGGAGATGACAAATTGACTATGATAGAGTTGGTACAAATTAATGGGGGCCTCAAGTATTTAGATTGCGAGGTACTATCTATTCAATTAAACACATATATACACAAACAAATATATGTATTAAAAATTTAAAGTTCATGCCCCCATTAGTTCCTTCATAGTTCATATGTCCGCCCCTATGATATATGAAACACCAATTATGTGCATGCACCTTGTGATTTAAAAAACTAATTAAATTTTTCGTATCATGCGCAAACCCTTCTTCTAGAAAAATTTAGTTGTCATAAGTTGTCCTGATTGAGGTAGTTGGAGATTATGGATGAGGGATAGATGATAGCTATGCCTCACTTTAATAGTCAATTGGTGAGAATTCACTCAACTTCTTCGTCACTTCTAAAGATTCATTAAAAGAATCTCTAAAAATGGCCCCACCAAAGATGATTTCAAATTTAAATATTTACCTAAACTCTAAGAGGGCGTTAAGAGGGTGGTTCTTTGAACTTTCATTAGTGATTTATATAACTTGGGAAGGTATTTACTAAGAAAAACTGTCAATTTGGTCCTTGTATTATCACGAAAAAATCATTTTGTCCTCGTATTTTTTGTAAAATAAATTAAATCTCGAAACTTTGTAAAATCGTTCAATTGAGTTCATTTGGAGATTATTTGTCATGTCAGCACATCACCCGCTGACGTGGCACACGTGTGGCAGCCCAACAAGTGCAAGTAAATTAGTCGGATATGATTATTTATTTAAGGGGGTGTATTCAATATGGATTGTTGTGGACTTTTTATAATCCATGGACTTTCAAAAAGTCAATGGACTTTTAAATTTATAGACTTTTTTATGAATGAATTCTATGGACTTTTAAATCCATGGATAAGTTTATTGACTTTCAAAAAGTCCATAGACTTTTAAATGCGGACCGCCACTGCAGGTCGTCAAAATTTTCACCTAGATTGTCGCTACCGATATGCCTGTGACCTGTCCGCATCCATCATCGGAGTTCCCCGCTGTCGTCATCGGACTGACGCGTCACCAACAAAATGGCTTTGGTTGTGAAAGGGAACTAGGGACAATTAATTATATTAATTAAGTAATTAATTAAATTAGGGGTGAATATGTAATATTTATTCCCATTTAAGAAAAACCAAACATTTAATCATACTTTAAGAATAATGCTTTGCTTTAGTCCTACCGTGAGTGATTTCCTCTATATAATACGGAGTACGATAAGAAATAAATAAGTAAGTAAGTAAATAAATAAATAAATAAATAAATAAATAAATAAATAAATAAATAAATAAATAAATAAATAAATAAATAAATAAATAAATAAATAAATAAATAAATAAATAAATAAATAAATAAATAAATAAATAAATAAATAAATAAATAAATAAATAAATAAATAAATGAAAAAATGTAATTCATATAGCAACACAATGTTCTACAAAAATAAATGAAGCATAAGAATTCAAATTTATTTTTATTAAAAAAAAACTCAAAGTTTCAAGAATGCTCGAGAATTTTGGCCATTTTATTAATGATTAAGAACATTAATCGTTACACAAGCATTACACTCATTGCTACATGTGGTACAAGCATAAATGCAATCGAGCTTTTCTACTTAGTGATTGTTTTCTTTTAACTTCTATCTTGTAAATACTTGTATATGTATTTATGGTTATATATTTATTAATTTGAAATTATATTTTTATGTGTTAAGCGATTTAACGATGAAAGAAAGTGATAGTTAAAATATTTATTTTCTTAAATGGTTAACTGATGACGTATCAAAATTGCATTGATGTAATACTATCGATTCTTATATCGGTTCTTCTATAAACTTCTAGAATCGAATCAATATAGGATTACTTAATCGAGGGGGTGGACTGGGGACGGCAAGCTAAAGAAGAAGAAGAAGAATGGAAGGAGAGGGGTGGGCGAGCTGGGTTGAAGAAGAAAAAGAAGAAAGATTGAAGAGGAAGGTGTGGCTTGGCTAAAAAAGAGTAGAGTTTGGGGAGGGGGGGAGTAGGCTTGGCCCGAGGCCGGTCTGACTGGCCCGGGACCCGGCCCGGCCCGGCACTGTGCGGGTCTGACCCGGCCCGTTGGATCGGTACCGGTACCGGGCCTAGGCCCGACCTGGGGGGATTAATTGGGGCGGTTCCGGAACTGCATATTTGAGGACCAGCCCGGCCGGTTTGGGCCCGGTCCGGGCCTATGGTAGGTAGGCTGGGTGTTTTGGAGGGGTTTGGGGGGTGAGGGTTGGAATATATATGAAAACAGAAAAAAATGAACCAGCCCGGCCCAACCCGGAACTGGCCTGGCCTAACCCGGCCCAACCCGGAACTGGCCCGGCCCGATACCAGTAGACTCCCGGGCTGGTCCCGGGCCTTACCCAAAAAAATCCAAGCCCGGCCGGGCCCGAATCAGAACAGAAACCGGGTCTGGCCCGGTCCATCCCTAGGAGGGAGGGGAGGAATGGGGTGGGACGGGATGAAGAACCGATATAAGAAAAGTCCACGGAAATCTTTGGTGAGGAGAAGAGACAATTGCAGAAATTTTTTGCACTAAAAATGAATTAAAAGTTCACGAGAATCCATGATTTTAGAAGTCAATAAGAATGAACGGAAATTTGAATACGCCTAGACTTTTATAGACTTTTAAAAGTCCGCATTGAATATACTTAGACTTTTGTGGACTTTTAAAAGTCCACATTGAATACACCTAAACTTTTAAAATCCATGGACTTTTAAAATTTTGCCACTAAATCCTAATACAATACAACCCCCTTAGAGAGAATTCCCTAAATGGGAGTAAAAACGTTATGAAATTCCAAAGTAGGATTATCAAGTTTTTTATTCCCTGAATAAGATTAAATTTCTACCAAGTTTGGCATTACTAGGCTTTAAACATGACATTTTTTTGCCAAACTTGACAGATTACTCCTATTCAGGGAATTAAAAACATGATAGTCCTATTTTGGAATTTCAAAACATTAGTTTATTAATTGTTTTCATTCATAATCCGACGACGGAGGTGATTTAGTTCAGAAGAAGAATGATTTAGGTACCAAAAATGAAACAATTCAAAATGATTACATCATTGGAGGGGGTGAGAAAAAAAATTACTCCCTCCGTAACATTCATATCTTCCCATTGTTCTTTTTTGGACATAACATTTATATCTTCCCATTTCTAAATCTTCAAATCATACCCTCAATAATTTAAAAAATAATACACTACTACACCTACTTTTTTTGGATTTATCCTTCATTCCATCACATTATTTCTCCATCTTCCTATCATACCCTCAATAATTCATACCCCATTTCACTATTCTTAATCTCACCCACTTTGGAAGTGGGAAGATATATGTGATACGGAGGGAGTACATAGATAGGACCACGAGTGTTTCCTTCCTAAATAAGAATCATCAATACTATAATATTATTGATTTACATAAAAGAGAGTTTTTCAATTTTTTTAAAAATGTTTGATTTTTTTGAATGATTATTATTGTTGTTGTTATTACGCATGTTATACAAAAAGTTATACAAAATTTTAAAATTAATCCATTTTATTTTTCTGCCAAACATACCGGCCAAGCCAACAATTATTGTACTTCCTCCGTTCTTAAATAAATATAACGGTCAACATTTCACACTTGCCGATGCACAACTTTGGCCATTAATATATATAAATTTGTATTAGTAAAAAAATTAAAAAATATATATTTTAAAAAATATATATTTTGAAAATTGAATCATTCAAATGTAATCTCAATTCTGAAGTTTTGAATGCAAAATCGAACAGAACTTTTAGTTTGATTGTGTATTTGATTTTGGGTAAAAAAGAATCGAAAAAACCCTAATTGTAATTCAAAATATACGACCAAGAAATTATTATTCCGTATCGAATAACATCACAGCAGTGCGGATCGCAGTAGAAGAAAGGTACAGCGTTGGACTTGACTGAATATGAAGCGTGAGCAGGTGAGCCCTGAAGCTGAAGTCGATAAGGATGCGGAAGACCGGAAAAGGTATAACCATTAAAAAGTTTTTATATTTTTATTTGTAGAAACTCCATCTAGAGTTTTTTTTAGATCGAGTTTATATTTGTATAAACCGTTCAATAGCGGAGCAATTTTTTAGTTGTTGATTATGATTTTAGAAAAAAATCGATCTGCAAGTAAAGTAAACCGTATCAAAAAATTGAAACCGAGCACAAAAATAGAACCCTAGTTGTTTGATTTTTTTTGGTTTTCACCTCCATTAACCCAACGTCGCCCAACGAATAAACTGAACTATTTTAAATATGTCATTTATTTATTAACCATTAATTATTAATTATAATATTTTCCTTAATTATTAATCCCTGATTCTCAAAAGTTATTGTTTGGTCCAAGATTTATTTGGTCTTTTAAAAGATATTGATAAATTTAGTTAAGTGAAATGCTTGTATATACATTTTAGTTTCTTCCTATAATGCTAGTATATTGATGGTAAATACAAATCCTCTGATTGATTGCTTAGAAGAACAAGTGTCTCATCTAAATTTTATTTTCTTTATTATTTGTATTAGGTTGCCGTTAATTATGGTATGATTTTTTTTTTGCATTTACTATATTTTTATCTACAGAGTTGGTTTGGCAACAATCAAAAAACTGATGCAGGACCAAAATAAAAATGAAACAACCAAACTGTTTTTTTTCAAATTTTGAAAGATAAAACCGAATCAAATTGAAATTTTACTTCGGTTTGGCATTTGATTTTGGTCAAAGTTAAACCGATTGAACCGAACCCACCTATAACAAAAAGACATGTTTTTAATAAACATTGTCTTGGGTGGAGATGATGACACGATGAGGACCTCGAACATAGCAGCCCCATCTTCTGTTGACGTCCTCCCCCCACAAAAGGCTACCTGATGCTCACTGGATGACTTGCTGCGCTATATAGCTGACAGAATGTTGCCTGACCAAGAGGAGGAGGTGAGACTAGTCCGACGACGAGCACCGGGCTACGTTGTCCTGGACAACAAGCTGTACAAGAGATTGTACAACGGAACCTTGCCGAAATTTCCGTGCCCACACGTGCTAGACATGATTGTCCCCAAGCTCCACGGGGGCGTATGCTCGGCTCACCAAAGCCACGCACAGATTTTTGATATGAAAATTTTCTAAAGAAACTCCACTAATTTTTTACTTTCCTATTCTCTTTATCTATCAATTCACATTTTGCTACTGCCTCCGTCCCGGAAACAAGTTCCCGGGTTGACTTTCACACATTTTTAGGAAATAAATTTACTGGGGGGTAAATTTTACTGTTTCAACACTGTTTGGCACGGTTTTGCACTGTTTGACACTGTTTTGCACTGTTTGACACTGTTTTGCACTGTTTTGATGTAGATAATTTGCCAAATAAGGAAGTGGGAAGTTTATTTTGGGACATCCAAATAAGGAAAGTGGGAACTTGTTTCCGGGACGGAGGGAGTATTTATGTATCCAACCTAGTTTTTCTTACTTCTTTTTGGAGTTTAGAACAACAACGTCATCCATTATTCTCTTAAAATTCTTTTTGGAGGTTAGAACAACAACGTTATCCTTTATTCTCTTAAAATTCAAGCCGAACCCAAATTTATTTTACGATTTTAACTGAGGGAGTATTAGATCTGGGCTTTCGTTCTAAGCTATGAACCTTATAAGAGGAGTCCAAAATCTGTTATTTGAGCTTGTAATGTTTTATTGGGTCAGTATCTGTTGTGTTTAACACAACTAATTAGAAGATGAAAATTTTGAAATCCGTGTATTCGATGAGGCTATACAAAGATTGTGTTGCTTGTATGATATTAACATGTTCTCACATTGAGCTTCAATCGTAAATTTTCTTCTTTATAGAAGTAGTATTCCAATTCTCATACTTGAGTTTGTATTTTTCTATTGTGCCAGTTTGAGATGACTTAACAGTTAACATTGTGAACATTTAGATTGGTTTTTGTTAAACATAGTCATAAACAAACTCAAATGAATCTTGTATAAGGGTGATCATGCTATACTGTGGTTTCAAATAATTATGGTTTTCTCATTTTTGCTCAGTCTTACACACGAAGCTGGAAGCTCAAATAATTTTTTTTTGTTTTTCCCCATTTTCAACATAGGGCATATATTGATATTTTAAAAACAATACAAATTGGGCATCATTCAAATTCTTTCTTTGCTTACTGACCTTATTGTGTCATAGTCCAACCTCTTTTGGTTTTTTTTTTTATACTTTTGACTGGTATCATGGGCGCACGCAAAAGCATAAGTTGAGCTGGGCCCATAGCCCTGGCCCTGAGGAATGTTTTAGGATAAATTTTTACACACAAGTTTTTATACATAAATTGCAAGTTTTTCTCAAATTTGGGGTGAGCCTGGACCTGATAAGTCCCCTACTAGGCTACTGCGCCCCAGACTAAACAATCACTTGAGCCACACACTCTACGAGTATCTTAGAGTTTTGTTGGTCCGGCCATTTTTGCTATTTTTTTTTGGTTGGTTATTATGCTGAATGAACTGTGAAGGAAGAAGACAAAGTTTGAGCAACAAACCACACCTCCCATGGATAAGCGGGTGTCAAAATTTACATGGAGGATCAAAAGTTTCTCGCAACTGGATGTTAAAAAGCTTTGTTCTCCCACGTTTCTTGTGAAAGAGAACAAATGGTATGCCCCTTCTAGTTGGATGGACACCAGTGAAAAAATAATGTGTGAATGAAGATTTTTAATTTCATTATTCTTTTGTTCTACCTACAGGAGAGTTGTCCTTTTTCCAAAAGGCCTAGGAAAAAATAATGATCATTTGTCCATGTACCTCAAAGTGGCTGGCTCTTCTCGCTCACCCAATGGCTGGAGTATACCAGCAAATTTCAGCATAGCTCTTATCAACCAGATAAATTGCAACAAAACCATTAAGAAAGGTATATCTGTATAACAAAGATGTAGATGATGATGTGTTCTGTTGGACTTCTTTTAGTTCCAGACCTAATCTGATTTGAAGTTTATTCCTGAGTCAGATTTCTCTAAGTATACAAACTGCTCTTTAATAAATGCTAGCAATTATCAGGATACTTTTACGTTTTAGACAGTAAGTCCTTTAAATACTACAGCTTAATGTTTTAAGTGTTACATATATTCTTTCAAAAAAAAGTGTTACATATATCAGCACTCTACTTTGGATATGATGCAGAATCATTTCATACTTTCAATGCTGAAGAACGTGTTTGTGGCTTCACGTCTTTTATCCCTCTCAATGATCTTCATGATAAAAGTGGAGGTTATCTTGTTGAAGACACGTGCTTGATTGAAGTTGAAGTAGATGTGGTTGATGATGTTGTGCTTGATGATGTTTCTCCATCTGTCAACTATAGAGTATAAGTTCAAGTTTGATTGAAGCATACGTACTTTTATATTACAGTACTACCACTCTACTGATCTTTATCCTATTTCTAAATGACTCTTTCTTTCTCCTTTGTGATCAGACTTTCATAGGGCGTGTTTTCGGCATTGGCTCATATGGTAATTCATCTTCTCAAGCTACTTACTGGAGTCAACAACAATTACATGAACTTATTGAAGAGTTGGTGAGAAGGCGGTTACAAACGACAGGCCTAGAAGAGAAAATGGAAGCTCTAATTGAGACTAGACTTAGTGCCGCCTTTGACAAGTATTTCCCTCAAATCCCGAGCATGAATATGGGCCAACTCTCGAGCACGAGTACAAGTCAAACCCCGAGCCAAACGCTGGGAACTAATCCAACCCAAGACATGGGTCAGTTCTCAGGATTGGATCAAATTCCCTCCATGCCCATTAACCAGCCACACGGCGGCGATCAATTTTTAACACCTCAGCAATGCTCTCAAGGTGAAACCCCTCCTGAACAATGATAACCATAACAACAGTCCCCCCTCCAATGTAATTTTCTTTCATTTTTTTTAATTATTTTGTAGTTGGTTTTTTAATTTAGGTCAAGTTCCTTGGATTTATTCCATGATTAAGTTTTTACTTTTTCATAATTTAAGGTTCGTCGCAGTTGTCACTTATGGCATCCATGGGGCCTAGATTTAGAAAAATCATTTCTAAAACATATGGAAAACAAAATGTGGAGAAACGTGTAAATGTTAAAAAAAATTACGGTCAGACTCTCTTTGTTTTTTAAAATTTTGTCATCTTTTCTTTTTTTTTTTGTTTTCCCAATATTTGTGCTCATCATCATTACCCTAGTGCCAGAAAGGTTCTCATAGTCTCATCTATGGTAAGATAAGGGAGATTGATTATACACATTCTTACCCTTGTATTAAAGCATAGATAGACTTCTTTTGGATAATCCATAGTGAAATTCGCTTTGAAAGTTGCATGGACTGAATAATGCTTCATAAAAAAAAATGAAGACAATTTAATGAGCCATTTTGATTTTTTAATCCGGTAGGCAAACAACTAAAATGGTGGGGGCAAATGTCAGTGATCATTTGCCGGATTTTATTAGATAATTTAAAATATACAAAGAAGGGAGGGGATTAGACCAAAACCCCTTTAGAGAAGGCATTCCTTCCCAATACAATCAGCATAACTAAAAGAACATCAATACAAAAACGATTAGGGGGGAGGGCTAAACTGAGTCATTTTGATCTTTGTTAGTAATATACGGTTCGTGAATAATACAATAATACGTACGTTCGTGTATAATATGATACAAATATATAAAATAAGGCTTAATATATGTTTCATACGTTCGTGAAATATATGAGGATACGGACGTGTTTTAAACGTTTCACAATTTAAAAATACGGCATATAATATGTGTCTTATATACTAATTTAATGATAGAAATAAAGAGTTATTAAATGTAATGACTATTAAAAAATTAACGAACATATAAAACATACATTTTTTAAGCAATATAAAAAATATTGAGCAGCTAAACATTTTATGAATAAAATATGTATGAATACATACAGAACGTGTATTATACATTTTATGCTTAAAGTACGTGAGGTTTTCAGAATTTTCTGAAAAAATCATAAACGTGAGTATTATATGGGAATAAAATACGTATCAATACGTACGGTACGTGTATTATACATTTTATCCTTAAAGTGCGCAAATTTTTCCGAATTTTTTGAAAAATTCATAAACGGGAGTATTGTATGTGAATTATACGTTTGAGTGTATTATACGCGAATAAACTAACAGAGATTTTGATTTATTTCATCATATTTTTAAGCCAAAAATATTGAGTCTTTGGCTCCATTGCAAATGATGGGAGGAATAGATTTCCCAATAACTATGTTACTTTACCTTTAATCAATCGATTTATGGTTTCTATTATTTCTCTCTCCTCTACTTATAAACCTCAATCATACAGTTTTTATTTTTGTTGAAGTTTTGTCCCGTAGATCCGAAAGCCCAACATAAACTTCGGATATTAAGGACGATGGATTCGGTATAAAAGTAATAAATATAAAAAAGTGTATGAACTAGCTATTTTTACGTGGAAACCTGGAAAGGGAGAAAACCACGGGACTTTTTAGGTTAACGTCCAAGCCCGCTCTTTCTCATTAATATGCTCTCCTCACCATTTTACATAATACAAGGCTTGAAGCCTCCATTAATGGAGGTTTGTTGCTATTCTACAAAGGAGGAAGAAAAAACAGTAAATGGGAGGGAGGAGCTCTCTCCAGGAGAGAAGAGCAAGCCAAAGGGGATCCTCTCTAGGGAAGAGGCCTCCTATTTATAGGAAGGAGGGGGAAGCCCTTCTAGGCTCATGGGCCAAGAAATGGTATTAATGGGCCAAAGCAGGCCTAAATGGGCCGAAGCAGGCCTAAATGGGCCGAAGCAGGCCTAAATGGGCCGAAGCAGGCCTAAATGGGCCGGGCGAGTCTAAATGGGCCTCACCGATTGGGCTCCGTATCGGGGTGACGCTTTGGGCCTCTGAACAGTAGTAGACCGGGGTAATATACCCAACACAAGTCCCCCAGTTTCTTGAGTAGTGAGCCTGCAAATCTACTTGAGAAAGTATAATCTTGTTCACGTCCTTCTCTGCCCTCCTTGAATCAGAGTCTTTCAATAGTTTTGGATGCAAGGCCTGCACAAGTCATAAGTGAGGTGCAATCCCGCACTAGGCACGACGGCGCTGAAGAGCCAGCTGCTCGTGCTGCATAAGACGGCGGTCCCGTTCCAGAATGGCATGGGTGGATTCGACCGAGAAGTAGGCACAACGGTGTTTGAAGAGCCAGTCGTTCGTGCTGCATAAAAGCGGCGGTTGTCATCCCAGATCAAGGATGGACGAGCCCGGCCGGGAGTCAGTCACGACGGTGCTATGGAGCCTGTACGTGCTGTATAAAAGCGACGGTCGCCATCCCAGATCTAGGATGGACGAGCCCGACCGAGAGCCAGGCACGACGGTGCTGTGGAGCCCGTACGTGCTGTATGTTGACCCGGTTATCCAACTTTTTTGGTGTTTGTTGTGATCTCTGTTCTAAAAATCGTTCTAGGCGCCCGACTAGTCCCCGCCTAGGCGCTAGGCGGTGGTCGGGCGCCCCGATTTTCGTCTAGGCGCTCCGACTAATTGGTTTGCCGTCTAGGTGAATTAGTCGCCCGCCTATGGCGCCTAGTTGCCCGCCTAGAGCGCCTAATCGGCCGCCTAGGGCGTCTAATTTGTCGAAAATTACTTCACTTTTTAATTTTAATTTTCTAAACGATATACTTACTTTAACTTTAGCCATGAATATAAAGAAATGAAGTTGTAAATAAAGATAAAACCATATATGTTTGTATATATACCTAAATTTTATCATTATTTATATTTATAGCATAATAAAGTTAAGTGATTAGTTATCATATACTTCATATGATTAAATGTGATAATTATATCATTCATGTTTGTTAATTTATATGTATATATGTATTTTATACACACAAAAATACAATATTACTTATCATATTTATGCAAAAATATAGATAAAAATGCAATTTCTGTGTCTCCGACTAGTCCCCAACTAGGCGCCCGCGCTAGGCGCTGGGTTGGCGCCCGACTAACGCCTAGCGCCTTTTAGAACATTGGTTGTGATATTGTTGTTTGGTCATTTCGACCCGGTTATCCAACTTTGTGTTTGTTTTTCTCTTCTGGTTGGGATATTGTCGTGCGGTCATTTCGACCCGGTTATCCTTTTTTTTCTGGCGTTGTTGTGATATTGCCGTTTGGTCATTTCGACCCGGTTATCCAACTTTTGGCTCTTTTTGGGATATTTTTTGCCGTTGTTGTAATATTGCCGTTTGGTCATTTCGACCCGGTTATCCAACTTTTGGCTCTTTTTGGGATATTTTTGGCCTTTGTTGTGATATTGCCGTTGGGTCATTTCGACCTGGTTATCCAACTTTTGGCTCTTTTTGGGATATTTTTGCCCTTTGTTGTGATATTGCCGTTTGGTCATTTCGACCCGGTTATCCAACTTTTGGCTCTTTTTGGGATATTTTTGGCATTTGTTGTGATATTGTCGTTTGGTCATTTCGACTCGGTTATCCAACTTTTGGCTCTTTTTGGGATATTTTTGGTCTTTGTTGTGATATTTTCGTTTGGTCATTTCGACCCGATTATCCAACTTTGGGCTCTTTTTGGGATATTTTTGGCCTTTGTGATATTGCCGTAATGCCGTTTGGTCATTTCGACCTGGTTATCCAACTTTTGGCTCTTTTTGGGATATATTTGGCATTTGTTGTGATATTGCCGTTAGGTCATTTCGACCCGGTTATCCAACTTTTGGCTCTTTTTGGGATATTTTTGGTCTTTGTTGTGATATTGCCGTTTGGTCATTTCGACCCGGTTATCCAACTTTTGGCTCTCTTTTCTTTCTTTCTTTTTTTTTTTATTATTATTTTAAGAGGTGGCAACATGGAGCTATAGAAGCAGTCCGATCATCTGGATAATAGGTCTTCCTCCGTGGAGCGTGAAGATGCCTTCAGGGTGATAAAACATGTCGTGCCGCGAGGCCGATCATGATATGAGGACAGAAGCGGCAACTGCAGTAGCGGTCCATAAAATATAATCATGCTATGATGATGTCGGTGCTAAGGACACTGGTGAGAAAACTCAAACAGTGATCCTCATCCGTGGGGAGCAGAGGCCGGTCTCCAGACAAAGAAAATCATGTCGTGCCGATACTCCGATTGTGATGTAATGGTGTTGGCGATGAGAGGCCGATCAAGTGTATCCATGCAACGGCTCTCATCCGCGCAGCGCGGGGATGATACTGGTCTTCAAGTAAAGAGAATCATGCTATGCCGATAGGCCGACCGTGATGTAATGGTGTCGGCGATGAGGGGGCCGATCAGCTGGAAACAATCAATAGTCTTCATCCGTGAGGAGCGGAGACGAGGCTGGTCTTCAAATATGGAGAACACGCCGTGCCAGTCATGATATAGTGATGTCGGCAATGAGGGGTCGACCTGAAACTCAAACAACGGTCCTCATCCGCAAGGAGCGGGGACGAGGCCAGTCTTCAAAATATACTGATGGCACCGTACCAGGTGGTCAGTGGCCATTTAATGATGTCAGCACTGCGGGCCGATCAGAAAATTCTAGGGTCTTATAGGCGCCCTCTGACCATGATACTTGCTCTCGGTGCCGAACGGTGGAGGCCGGATGGCCAGTCATGGAGCGTGACCTGAAAGATCGTGCATTGTACAGCCCGTGGGAATTCTCACCTTGTGTCGTGGTATCTACACAATTGTAGTCTTTTTTCTCTTTCTCTCTCTCCCTTTTCTTTTCTTTTCTTTTCTTTTTTTTCCAATCATGAACGTCTCTGTGCTCCATGATCTCCTCGTTCGAGCTGGCCGAACGGCTCTGAATGAATGTGATTCTTTTTGCCGGTCATGAATATCTTTGCGCTTCATGCCGAACGTCATGAACATCTCTGTGTTCCATGATCTTCCCGTTTAAGCTGACTGAACGGCTCTGAATGAATGTGATTCTTTCTTCGTCGTTGTCAGTCATGAACGTCTCTGCTCTTCATGCCGAATCGTCATGAACATCTCTGTGCTTCATGATCTCCCCGTTCGAGAATATCGAACGAATTTCACTGCACAATCAGCATGGTAATACGGTCATACGGCCGAATAACATATACAAGTATATACATACACATATGTATAACATTTCTTTTTATTATTTTTTATTCATGACTACTGGCCGAAGTGTTAATAATAACCCTTGGCCTAGATTTATTTCTCGAACTGTCAAAGTCCACGACCTGAACCACCTAGTGGTTTGCCTGGTATTCAAGTACATATTTCGCCCCGTACTGGGTACAATTGTCGAACTGGCATTTAATGCCAATCGAGACCATGAATGGTCCCTTAAATTAAAACACGTCACCGGGCTAAGCCCCTGCGAGACGCTTCAGTCAGCTAGTTTGAGTCGACACGTCCAGCCAAACCAATCATTTAAAAATGTTGGTCTTATTTAAAAATGGTGGTCTTATTTATAAAACTCCGTTCGATACTATTCAACTAATGCCCTTCGGGGGGGCACTCCGATCGCTCCATTATAGCTAATCGTGGGTTGGCCGGTCGGCTCGATAACCCAATCATTTAACTGAAGCTTGATTAACGTTTGCCTTGAAAAACAGAAGGCTATCGTCAGCAAAAAGTAGGTGTGGCAATCCCGGTGCTCCATGACAAATCTGCAGCTCCTTCAGTCTATCACAACGAATCTCTCTGTTTAAAAAACATGAAAGGCCATCGGCTATAAACAAGAATAAATATGGTGAAAGGGGATCACCTTGCCTTAGGCCTCTTGTTGGTACCATGGTTTGAAATAGCGGCCCGCTACCGCTATAGCGGCCGCTATATAACGGTCGTGGTAGGGGCCGCTACCGCTACGGCCCGCTATTCGTGTGCGATTTCCAAATCACGGGAAAAATCTGCTACAGCCCGCTATTGACATTTCCGGCAGTACATCACGAACTGTTTGATATGTAAATGTGTAAATGTTGTGTGAATGATGTGAAAAAAATACATAATGGTGATGCATGGAGTGAAACTCAAAATTAAATGTTGTGTAAATGATGTGAAAAAATACATTTATGTTTTGCGCAATTGAAAATATTTCACGCCGCTGCAACCGCTACAGTCGGCTACATGTCGCTACAGACCGCTAACGCGATGACCGCTACCGCTGCCGCTACGGCTATTTAAAACCTTGGTTGGTACAAACTCCCGCATTTGCTCTCCATTGAGACGGACCGAGTAACGCACAATAGTAACACATTTCATAATCCAATTCACCCATTTTCGGTGAGAACCCAGTGTAATCATTATACCCTCCAAAGTCCTCCAGTCAACACGGTCATAAGCTTTTGCAAGGTCTAACTTATAAGCACAAAATTCTCCACGTTCATCCTCCTTCTTCTGCATTGCATGTATACATTCAAAAGCTATGAGCGCATTATCCGTAATCAAACGCCCCGGGATAAAAGCGCTTTGAGTAGGGCTAATAATATGTTCAAGCAAGGGTGTGATACCCCGAAAAAACTTAAACAAAATAAAAGTTTAAGTTAATCAGATAAAATGTTACAAAAAAGACATTTTTAATGCTTAAGTAACAAGATAAACATTTCGTGGAATATTATCTTATAATAAATACTAGCTAGAATTATTAAGTTCGGGCTGAATATTCTATAAAGAACAAACCCATATGAAAACTTGACATGCCCACATGAAGTTGGCCGAACAATAATGAGTAACAATAATAATATGTATATTTGCAATGACCATAATAATACACCTGCAATAATATACCTATCAATAATATACAGTACATAATGATAAGGATGACATACATCATACGAAATACATAGCCTCTTGCGAGACTAACGAATGACATACCCACATGCGTACGTAGAAGCTGATAAGATAAGCCAACTAAGCAATCTTCTGCAGCAACATACGCTATACCAGCTAGAGCTTCGGATTGACCTTATAAATATACTTACGCATACATAATATAGCCATACAACCATATGTACATCTATATGCATATATGTATAATATACCTACACGTACTGCGTCAAATCTATTGACGCAAACCCAGAGATAAAGACTACTTTAAAACTTCGGTCTGGTAGAGAGTAAGAGAAAGAATGTGAGAAAAGAGAGAAACGGTCGACAGTAGGGGGAGAAATCCTTCGCTGGAGTTTCGCCGGAGTGGGTTTTGACGTCAAAAAAAGAGAGGAGCTGAAGCTGCGATGCCGGTCTGTGTAGCTAAACCAGTGTATCCCAACAGATCCACCATCTTCGTCAGTCTGGTAGTCATCTCCAGTTCAGGTAACTGTTCTCTTCATTTTTCAGTCGCTCCGGCGTCTAGACGAAGAAGATGACTTCCGCCTGGTTTTACTCTCAAGCTGGATCTATTTTAAAATTGGGCCAGATATACTAATTTCTGGGCTGGACCCTTTTTGTTAACTGGCCTATACGAATTACCAACTACTTCTAATAATAATAGTTAATCATAATAATAAATAATGAAAAATTGGTAATTAAATCTGGAATGAGAATATTGAAAGTTGAAAAACGGATTAATTATATTCAAAATTATTACGTGGATAAATTTGTCACTTTTTAACTGATACAATTAGGTAATGTTGAATAATGAAATGATTTGATTGTTTAATTAATCTAAATTGATAAACGATTTATTATAATAAAATAATGATTATTTCGAACTTAGTACCTTAACTAGATTAAATAAATTGGCTACATATTATTTACACTAAATACTGGATCAATTGAAGCAGATGAACATGACTAAGGAATTCGGATATATTAAGTATTAGAGCAAAAGCAGATTAAATAAATGAATATTAGTAAAATCATTAGGATGTTCGGATATATTATGGTGGATTAATAAATAAAGTGGTAAGATTAATAAATAACCTAGATTCGAACATTAAAATAAAAGGGGAAAATTGGGTAAATTTATACAAACATAATAAGTGACTTATTATGTCATCTTGATTAAAAAGGTGATTATTTAGAGATATGAATAGAGGAGGAGAACTAGGAGCTTCGGAATTAAGGTAAGTTTCTCAGTCAATCCAAAATTGTTTCCTCGTATTATATGCTTATTATGCATTATGTGATTAAGTGTGAATTTTGAATTATGTGTATGTGATTTTGAGGAGATATTAGATCTATGGTATTTGAGAAATACAAATGAAATACTTTTGGGTGTTAAATATTTTTAATATCATTGAGACCATTTAGATAGATTAAGAAATATTTTTGAAGTATACTTAATTCAAGATAAAATTGAGGATTTCATAAGAGGTGAGCACCGCGGGAGAAATCCGTGGTGTCGGTTTTCCACATCCGGATAAATGTGGAGGGTGATTAGAGCTGCTACTACTAAGAAGTACAGTTTGAGTTTGAAGTGACATTTGAGTCTATGATCCCTTTTAAGAAGAAGTTATAGTGGTAGTAGTCCTTAATCATTCAAGAATTTTAAAGGTGGTGTAGTTGGTAGACTGAGTTCCGATTACTCGTGACGATTTACTACCCAGAGGGCTTGGAATCCCTTTTAGGGGGTGTGCACACTTAAGGTAGTCGTTTCGTTTCCATTAGCAGTTGTGGTACCGGCAAAAGTCCCGGGTGGCCGTACATAATAATGTAACTACCGGGCTCAACCAGAGTGTTGAGCACCGCCCTTCTAAATTACTAGGAAGATAGAAAAGAAGTGAATTTTGAGAAATTCTAAGAGAAGAGTTACTAAAGTATCTTCAAAGAAAAGTTGAGGACTTTAGTAAAGAAGTGACTTTGAGAAAAATCAAAGAGAAAAGAATTTGGTACAGTGTGTTATTTTTATATAGTATTATATGAAAAACTATTTTTCGCCAAACCTGATTATTTTACGGGGTTGAGTAGTACTTACTTAGCTCTAAAGCTAATTTTTGTTTCCTTTTTTTCTGCACTTTATTTGTGCAGGTAATGATGACTATGTTGATTGATGATTGCATGCGCCTGAGAGCGACGTAGAAGATGCCTTAGTCAAACCTAGTCATAAATAAACAATCCAATTATGTTGAACACTTGTTTTACTTTGTTTTGTGATTGCCTATGCATTCGGTTAAGAGATGACCGGATGTGGCGGTAACACCCATTTCCCAATTAACACTTCCGCTGTATTTCTGATATTTTCAAATGAAGTTGATAACTCCTTTGAAATAAACATTATTTAAATGTATTTTTGGGCGGTAAATTTGGGGGTGTTACAAATGGTCTTAACCGATTAGCCAGACACTTTGAAATAGTTTTATAAATTACATTGCAAAGGGGGTCTAAAATCTTTAACCTCTTCCGGATCATTAATTTTTGGAATAAGAACTATAGCAGTATCGTTAACACGCAATTCCATAACTCCATCTGTAAAGAATTTTTGGACTGCCCTAATTACATCCTCTCGGAGCACATCCCAATGCCTTTGAAAAAAACAAGCCGGGAAACCGTCAGGCCCTGGAGGCTGGAGCCTTTAACGGTCCAATTTGAAACAATGCATCACTGATTTCTTTCTCCGAAAAACCCTCACATAATGCAACATTCATATTATCAGTGATCAGAGGTTCCAAATGAAGAATTCAATTGCAACAACCATGAAGCTTCCTCCATGTGTAAGCAACAACTATGAAGCTTCCTCCATGTGCAAGAATAATGACAAAGGGAGCTTCCTCAACCACCATTGAAGTTTCCTCATGTTTAATCCCACCTTCCTCCCACCTTCATACTACCTTGTTTTTGGTATTATAAATAGAGAGCTTGGAGAGTCTTTCTATCATCAAGTAAATTAGAATAGATCATCATAGCACAACCAAGTTTGAGTTGTGAATATCCTTGAGAGATATGCGAGGTGTTTTTGAGAGTTTTTAGTTAGAACTTGTATGTCTCTTCTTTCTATTCTTGAAAGTAATAGAAATGTTTTTCTCTCATATTAGCACGATCCTGTTATTCCCAACAAGTGGCATCAGAGCCTGGTTGAGCTTTTGATATTTTTCCCATATTTTTTCAGATAAAATTCTACTGTCTAAAAAATTGAGTTTTTCCGGAATTGCAATCTGAATATACTGTTGGATTCGTCTCGTTGAGACGAGAAAACTGGTATTTTAAGGGAATTTTTTGGCCACCGGAAGCTGCCGTACGCGCCGCCAAACGCCGGCCAAAAACTTCTTGCATCATCGCTGCTGTTATCACGCGCAGTCCAGAGATAGAAGATGGCTGACGTCATAGCTGACGTCATCAGCCAGCCAGACCTGCATCAGCGACACGTCAGCGCCACATGTGCAGTCCCACTGTCCCAGCACAGCCAGCCGCCACGTCATCGGTCAACTGCCATCTTTCACCTGCGTCCAGTTAGCTGCCATGTCATCCCCAGTCAGCGCCACGTCAGTGCCACGTCACCGGTCAGTTTTTAAATTTTGAAAAATTGCAGTTTGGTCCCTCAATTTTTAAAAAATTATAATTTTGGCCTGTAATTTTTTGAAAATTATATTTTGACCCCGAAAGTGCCTACCCACCATTTTCGGTCGTTCCGGACGCAACGGTGCTGCCCGTTTTTCGAAATTCTGCTCCGATTTTTCTGAAACAGAAAATCAAAATTATTTAGAAGGTGAAAATGACCTTTGACGAGTCAACTTCATCTTCTGAAGCTATGATTATGCTCACGGCTACCAACTACACGCTATGGAAACCTCGGATGGAAGATTTCCTTAGCTGTAAAGACCTTTTTGTTCCAATAGAGATGAAAGGTATTAATCCTGACCCGGCCAAGTCAACGGAGTGGAAGAAAATTAATAGAAAAACTATTGGTCAAATCCGACAATGGATTGACCATAGTGTCTCCCACCATGTTGCACAAGAGACCGACGCTTATGCCCTTTGGAAGAAGTTAGAAGATATGTACCAGGCCAAGACCGCTAGGAACAAGGCCTTACTGATGAGGCGTCTTGTCAATATGAAGCTCAAAAGTGGAACTTCTGTTGCTGAACATACTAGTCAATTTCTAAGTCTGGTAAATCAACTATCTTGTGTAGAAATGCCACTTGGAGATGAAATGCAATCTCTACTACTTCTTAGTTCCCTTCCTGATAGTTGGGAGACACTAGTTGTTACTCTCAGCAACTCAGCCCTAGATGGCAAACTTACCATGTCTGTGGTCAAGGATGCACTGTTCAATGAGGAGGCAAGAAGGAAGGACATGAGCACAGATGAGACTCATGCCCTTGTGACAGAGAATAGAGGAAGATCACAAGGAAAACAACAAAGAAACAGTAGAGGGAAATGGCAAAGCAGAGGCAAAAGTCGGGGGAGATCATCAGATGGCCAGAAACCTTCTTATACCTGCCACCATTGCGGTATAGAGGGTCACATGAAGAAGAATTGCTACAAATTGCTAGAGGAGCGAGGCAAGAGCAATTCTCAAGTGAAGAACAAGGGTGGTGAAGCGCTCATCACAATCTCAGGTGATGTGGCGTATTGTACTATCAATGATGAAACATGCCTTCACGTCTCAAGAGAGGACACTGAATGGGTGGTAGATACTGCAGCATCCTATCATGTTACTCCCCACAGGTACTACTTCACAACTTACAAAGCTTGTGACTTTGGAGCAGTGAAGATGGTCAATTCCAATTCCTTTGGAATAGCTGGAATTGGTGATGTACAAATAAAGACGAGTACTGGGAGCACAATCACTTTGAAGGATGTCAGACATGTTCCAGACCTTCGACTCAATCTCCTGTCAATGATATGTCTTGACGAACAGGGGTATGAAAACCACTTTAACACGGGCACCTGTAAAATGTTAAAGGGCGTTTTGACAATCGCTTGAGGACATGTTTGTGGCACATTGTACAAAACCCATTTGAGGATTTGTACGGATAGCCTCAATATTGTTGAGGAGACTTCTCAGAATCTGTAGCACCAGAGACTCGGCCACATTGGTGAGAAAGGGTTGACTACCTTGATGAAAAATAACCTTATCAACATCGACAAGAACGTTGCACTGGCTCCTTGCAGTCATTGTTTGTTTTGTAAGCAACATAGAGTATCATTTAGTTCTAGTTCAACTAAAAGATCGGAGTTGTTAAGTTTGGTACACTCCGATGTCTGTGGTCCTTTCGAGGTGGAATCAATCGGTGGAAGTAGATATTTTCTGAATTTTATCGATGATGCTTCTCGAAAAGTGTGGGTGTATTTCCTGATTACCAAGGATCAGGTGTTCGAGAGCTTCAAGACATTTCACGTCTTGGTGGAACGTGAAACAGGAAAGAAGCTGAAATGTATCCGATCTGATAATGGAGGCGAGTACACATCCAAGGCGTTCGATGCATATTGCAGAGAATATGGCATTCGACATGAGAAGTCAGTACCACGCACCCCTCAGCACAACGGCGTTGCTAAAAGAATGAACTTGACTATCATGGAGCGTGTCCGGAGCATGCTGAATATGGCTAAACTTCCGAAGTCATTCTGGGGAGAAGCAGTCAACACCGCATGCTATCTTATCAACCGATCACCTTCAGTACCACTGAACTTTGAAGTTCCAGAGAGGCTATGGACAGGTAAGGATCCTACATACTCACATCTTAGAGTATTTAGTTGTTCATCGTATGCACATGTATCCAAAGAGCTCAGGCAGAAGCTCGATGCAAGAACTGTCCCATGCATTTTCGTTGGCTATGGAAATGAAGAGTTCGGATACAGGTTATGGGATCCTAAGGAGAAAAAGGTGTTCAGAAGTAGGGACGTTGTGTTCCATGAAGATTTGACAATAGAAGACATTGAAAAACCCACAATGTTACGGAAGTCAAATGAGGGTGCTAGAGTTATAAATGAAGCACCAGAAGAGGACAAAGTGCATGAAGATAACTCAGAAGCATAGGAAGACGAGGAGACAGAAGAGAATGCAGAGCAAGGGGAGACACAATCCACCCCGCCAGACACAGATGATGGTAGCTCTTCTCAGATGGTTCCTACTGTTCGTAGATTTGAACGAGGGCATATCGACAAGGTACACATCATCTGAATATTTTTTGCTAACTGAAGATGGAGAACCAGAGAGTTTTCAAGAAGCTGTATCTCATAAGGATAAATAAAAATGGCTAATAGCAATGCAAGATGAGTTAGAATCTCTGCAGAAAAATCAAACCTATGAGATCGTAGAACTTCCTAAAGGGAAGAAAGCTTTGAGTTACAAATGGGTGTTCAAGCTGAAGTTGATGCAAACGGACAAGTGGTGAAACACAAAGCTCGGTTGGTTGTCAAAGGGTTCTAGCAAAAAAAAGGAATTGACTTTGATGAGATCTTTGCACCAGTTGTCAAGATGACCTCAATCTGAGTTATACTTGGCTTGGCAGCAAGTATGAACTTGGAGCTTGAACAGATGGATGTGAAGACAACATTTTTACACGGAGATTTGAAAGAAGAAATCTATATGCAGCAGCCGGAAGGTTTTGAGAACTCAAATGATAATTTTGTGTGTAAATTATCTAAGAGTTTGTATGGCTTGAACCATGAACCAAGGCAGTGGAATAAGAAGTTTGACTCATGCATGAAGAGTCAAGGCTACAAAAAGACTACTGCGGATGAGTGTGTATACATCAAGAAACTTCCAGGCGGTACTTTCATTGATCTTCTACTATATGTAGACGACATGTTGATCGTTGGGAAAGATGCACTGAAGATAAACCAGCTGAAGAAAGAACTCTCTAAGTCTTTTGATATGAAAGACTTAGGACCGGCTCAACAGATTCTTGGGATGCAAATCACTCGAGACAGGAAGAATCACAAGTTATGGCTATCTCAGGAGAAGTACATTGAACGAGTACTTGAGAGATTCAACATGAATGATGCCAAACCAGTAAGTGTTCCACTTGCGAATCACTTCAAGTTGAGCAAAAGAACATGCCCTACATCCAAGGAAGAGATTGGGGAGATGTCAGCAGTTCCATATTCTTCAGCAGTTGGGAGTTTGATGTACGCCATGGTATGCACAAGACCAGACATCGCACAAGTAGTGGGTATAGTGAGTCGTTTTCTCTCTCACCCCGGGAAGGAGCATTGGGATGCAGTCAAATGGATTCTCAGGTACTTGAAAGGTACCACGAAGTTATGTCTTTATTATGGAGGAGCTGATCCAGTCTTGGAAGGCTACACAGATGCTGATATGGCCGGAGACACTAATAGTAGAAAGTCTACTTCAGGATATATCTACACTTTTGCAGGGGGAGCCATTTCTTGGCAATCAAGATTGCAGAAGTGTGTTGCTATATCTACAACAGAAGCAGAATACATTGCTGCCGCTGAAGCAGGTAAGGAAATGTTGTGGCTAAAGCGTTTTCTCCAAGAACTTGGGATCCAGCAGAAAGAGTACAAGGTACATTGTGACAGTCAGAGTGCTCTAGACTTAAGCAAGAACTCTATGTACCATTCTCGTACAAAGCATATTGACATTTGGTATCACTGCATACGGGAGACGATTGATCAACAACTGTTGAGACTAGTGAAGATCAATACAAAGGAGAATCCATCAGACATGCTGACGAAGGTGGTGACACGGGATAAGCTAGAGCTGTGCAGAGACATAGCCGGGATGCTTGTTTTGAATATGCCTGGAAGGGAAGAATTGAAGAATTCAATTTTCAGGTCATATCCAAGTACAAGCAAATTGAAGAATCCAATTGCAACAACCATGAAGCTTCCTCCATGTGTAAGCAACAACCATGAAGCTTCCTCCATGTGCAAGAATGACAAAGGGAGCTTCCTCAACCACCATTGAAGTTTCCTCATGTTTAATCCCACCTTCCTCCCACCTTCATACTACCTTGTTTTTGGTACTATAAATAGAGAGCTTGGAGAGTCTTTCTATCATCAAGTAAATTAGAATAGATCATCATAGCACAACCAAGTTTGAGTTGTGAATATCCTTGAGATATATGTGAGGTGTTTTTGAGAGTTTTTAGTTAGAGCTTGTATGTCTCTTCTTTCTATTCTTGAAAGTAATAGAAGTGTTTTTCTCTCATATTAGCACGATCCTGTTACTCCCAAAACCAAAATCTGAAGCAAGGGCCTCAGGTCAACTGAAGGGTCCCACGTGTAAAGATCCATGTGTGATGCGATGCTTCCCGTTCGGATTTTCTCCTTTAGATCATGGATTTGGACCCATGCTGGAAAGGTTTCAGGTTCAACTGATTCAACCTCTGTCCAACCATCATAAGGTGCTAACAACAATGAGCAACCCCTGAAGATCCAAGGTCCGTTCTCCGTTACCCGTTCCCAGTCTGCCAGACAATGAAATTTGATCACGAACAAATTAGGTTTTGTCGCTCGGAATTCCACTTGTTTGGCACATTTCCATGCGGAGCGCATGTTTCCAAATAAGGCGCTGTGGCTAAATGTTTTTGACGTATGAACCCTAGCTAGGGCCAACCATCTAGCTGCAGCTCCTCCAAATTCTCTTCCAGAATCACGTCATCCTCTTCATCTTCCCTTAGTTCGAGACCCTTCAACATATCCTCAATAGGTTCCACTTTTCCTCCATCTTGTGATCACCCCATCTGCGTAGAGTTTGACGTTGTAAGGTTGTTCGACGTAGCGTACGAGAATATTGAAAACTCCAAGGCGGCGCTAAGGAGGATATGATGTTAAAACCCTAAAAGGGGATGAGAAAGTTTTCATTTTACCAGGTGCGGGGAAGAAGGAAGAAGAAATGGGGGAAAAATAATAAACAAAGAAGAAAAAGAAATTGGAAAAATATAAATTAGCATCTTGAGATGCCACGTGTGCTTATTGACTTGTTACTGACTTACTGGTTGATCCCATGGGTAGAAAGTCTATTTGAACATTTTTTTTTAAAGTTGGAGTACTTGATTGATTGTTTATTAAGTATGAGAACTTGATTGACTATTTCAATATAGTACAAGGACTAATTTTCCCTTTCAAAAAAACATTTTTTAGAGCGATTTCATTTATCAGAAGTACGTGGAATTGAACTTCTTTGTATAGTACTAGTAATAACTACTCGTAATAACTAACAGCCTAGCTAATAGTAGAACTTATTTTGTAGTTTTAACTTATTTTAAACTCCAATCAAACTATAAAGTCTGTTTGATAGAAGAATCAAAACTTTGAAAGCTCTTTAAAAAATATTACTTTTATCCATTCTTCATTAAAACTAAATCCAATTTTATCTTTTTATACCAAAAAAATTAT